AAGCATTTAGCATTGAAAACGGTGCCAGCATAAAAGCGAAACAGAACAAAAAAACATGTGTAACATTTAATTTTTTTTTCTAATGCGTGACAGCCTATCTCAGCACAGCGCTATGCAAAACGGTCAAGGCCACACTCAGCACAAACTTTTTTTTTGTTTTTTTTTTTTGCACGTGATTTTAAATCGAGTACACAGGTCCCCTGCATGCGCTGGCGAAATCCGCCGCAACCATCTCGATCCCAGTACGTCTACTAGATTCGCTGGCGGGCAAAGGACAATGTTAAAAAAAAAATAAAAAATAAAAAAAAAATTATTATAATTTTTATTATAATAAAAAAATTTTATTACAATAAAAAAACATTTTATTATAACATTGTTCTTGTAGACGTACTGGGATCGAGATGGTTGCGGCGGATTTCGCCAGCGCATGTAGGGGACCTGCGTACTCAATTTAAAATCACGTGCAAAAAAAAAATCGTTTTTTTTTTTAGTTTGTGACAGCCTATCTCAGCACAGCGCTATGCAAAACGGTCAATGTTATAATAAATGAAAAAAAAAACTTTTTTTTTTTAAGTTTTTTAATTACTGGTATTGGTGAAAGTCGGTTCGTTGTGACTTCTGGACCGCCGAGCAAACAAACGCTTTGTAGAGGTACATTCCAGCGCAGATAAACGAAAAACATGGCGGTGTGTTGACGTCGTCGCCGTTTGCAACTGCGGGGCAAAGGATTGAACCCGAGCCCCGAGCAACTGCTCCAAATCGATTGACGTGAAAAAAAAAATGCAGCGTAAACAGTGGACACCCGTAGGTTTTCGAATTTCATGACGTCAAACTTTTAGTCCGGATCGAGATAGTGAAAAACGGCTGCGGGAAGGCACAGACGCGACCAAGACGCTGGGGGCACATTCGGCAGTTTTAGGAAACCGTTTCTGCACATCCAATACGATACCTTAGGTCCTCCAGTACGAACTGTGCATATGCAAGTCTTCTGCTGTTGCACGTGCGCAATTCGTACCGGAGTGGCCCATCGTGGAGCTCCGGATGGGCAGAAAGGATTCCCTAAGTCTCCCTATTAGTGAGTTTTAGGGAACCGTCTTTGCACGTCCGATACGGTGCGAACGGGCCGTCCGTTACGGAGCGCGCATGTGCGAGTCTTTTCTGATAGCTCATGCGCGGTGTGGACCGGAGGGGCCCATCGTACCGTACGGGATGTGCCAAAGCCGTTCCCTAGAACTCCCTATTAAGGGTCTCTTATACAGTGACGTTGAGCAGGGTGAGCGTTGAGCGTAGCGCAGAACGTGTGCCTTTCATTGCTCGGCGAGCAGGAACTCGATGTCTGCGACCAATGAGTATCTGTGCGCGCTGCACTATGCCGTGATTTGCTACGCTCGACGTCGAATCGTATGAGAAAGCGTTTTGAAAGAGGTCCGAGCGGGGAGCTCTCACTTTGCAACACAACGCAGACGCTGTCCTTAGTGGCACTGCCAACCAGATTCCAAGATGCTGCGTCTTGGAAGCTGCACCTCTTTAGCCCCCGCTCGCTCCCAATGGCCACCGACAGCTCAAGATATATAGGGTGTGGCTCATGATGTTCTCGATTCTTGCTTAGTCCTTCGTAGCTTTTACGAGTTAACGCCACATCCGGCTGGCTGTGGCGTGATAATAAAATTCTGAGGACAAGCCACTGCTAGCGTTCCTTAAGCTCTCAGTAACTCTGTAGTAAGGGACACCATAAGGGCTCGGCATGGCGAGTCCACTGGAGCCAAGAGGAACGCCGTAGAACGATTCGCGAAGCAATGCGGAGGGCAAGTTCGTCTGCTTCTCGCGCAGGGGGTAGCGGTGACGTCAGAACGCCGAGCCCTGATTGGCTGATCGTGCCCCCTATCTGAACGTCGTCTGCTCCTTTGCAACGTCGTCTGCTCGCAACGTCGTCTGCGTCTGTCTTACCTTTCCTGCGACTTTCGGAAGTGCAGAGGCCAGATTCATGAAACGATCTTACGCCAAAAATGTGCGTAGGACAAAACTTAAGAACAAATTCTTATTCACGAAACGAAATTTTCGTAAGTTTTGCGCAGGTTACGACAAAATCCTACGACAGCTCCGAAGCTGTCTTACGCACTTCTTACGATCAAATCAGCATGGCCGACAACGCCGCGGTCGCGACGACCCACGGTCGTTTTTTTTTTACGTGCGGTTCTGACGCGTCCCGACTTCAAGCAGCAAGAAAAAAGTAAAAAGTACTTGAAACAGACCACGACGAACAAAAACGCTGGATCCACAAACACCCGGGAAAAGCTCCCACGGCCACGATCCCACCGAACGCGACCAAACGAGCTGGGCAGATAGGCCTAGGTCGCTCTCCGCGACTCGGCGACCGTCTGCCCACGACCGGCTGGCGTGCTGAGTGGAATATGCCCGCGCGACCCTTGTGAACCCTTCCCGTATAATATTTTGATTGCTGACCTCAGTTTTAGATTAAAATGTCAATTTCTTCCTCTTGTTATCTCCTTGTTTGCAGAGGCAACGGTGACTTTCGCCGATGAAAAAGCGGTGAATCTCCGACAGACGCAGCAAAGGTAAAGCAGCCATCGCTTTGACCGCTTTGACTAGCAGACGTAAAGCAGACGACTTTAACTGCGCTAACCCGCCGACGCCGTTAAAGAGTGAGGGGTCTCGCCGCACACGAATGGAGGGAAAAAGTATTTGGAAGGGAACTTGCCTCGGTTCTAAGCAAACAAACCTCGGCGCCCCGGGACACCTCGCCAGGCAGTCCTTTGACTTCCCTCCTTGATGCGCGTCTGCTAGTTGTTAGACAAAAACAACGTACCGCTCGAGTTATTTCGTCTGCCCTCTCTTAAAGGCGAGGTCGAGTTCGCTCCGAAAGTCGCAGGAAAGGTAAGACAGACGCAGACGACGTTGCGAGCAGACGACGTTGCAAAGGAGCAGACGACGCTGAGATAGGGAGTCGCGATCAGCCAATAAGAGTTCGGCGTTCTGACGTCACCGCTACTTCCTTTCTTATGCGCAGAAGACGAAAATGAGCCCACTTGCGAGGCGTATACGCCTCGGAAGTGGGCTCATTTTCGTCTTCTGCGCATGAGAAACGAAGTAGCGGTGACGTCAGAACGCCGAACTCTTATTGGCTGATCGCGACTCCCTATCTCAGCGTCGTCTGCTCCTTTGCAACGTCGTCTGCTCGCAACGTCGTCTGCGTCTGTCTTACCTTTCTTGCGACTTTCGGAAGTGCAGGTCTTTACGAGCGAACTCGACTTCGCCCTTCAGAGAGGGCAGACGAAATAACTCGAGCGGTACGTTGTTTTTGTCTAACAAGTAGCCGACGCGCATCAAGGAGGGACGTCCAAGGACTCACTGGCGAGGTGTCCCGAGGCGCCGAGGTTTGTTTGCTAAGAACCGAGAGTGAGGGTGGTTAGTGTCCGCAAATTCCTTCCCAAATACTTTTTCCCTTCTTTCGTGTGCGGCGAGACCCCTCATTCTTTAATGGCGTCGGCGGGTTGGCGCAGTTAACGTCGTCTGCTTTACGTCTGTTAGTCGAAGCGATGGCTGCTTTGTCTGTCGGAGATTCACCGCTTTTTCACCGGCGAGAGTCACCGTTGCCTCGGGAAATAAGGAGATAACAAGAGGAAGAGATTGACCTCTTAATCTAAAATTGAGGTCAGCAATCAAAGTATAATAGGGGAAGGGTTCACATGGGTCGCGCGGGCATAATCCATTCCATTCAGCACGCCAGCCGGTCGTGGGCTGTCGGTCGCCGAGTCGCGGAGTGACTACTAGGCCTAAATGCTAAACTGGCTTGGTCGCGTTCGGTGGAATCGTCGCCGTTGGAACTTTTCCCGGGTGTTTGTGGATCCAGCGTTCTTGTTCGTCGTGGTCTGTTTTAAGTACTTTTACTTTTTTCTTGCTGCTTGAAGTCGGGACGTGTGAGAAGCGCGCGTAGAAAAATAAACGTCCGTGGGTCGTGGCGACTGCGACGCGGTCGGCCATGCTGATTTGATCGTAAGAAGTGCCTAAGACAGCTTCGGAGCTGTCGTAGGATTTCGTCGTAACCTGCACAAAACTTACGAAAATTTCGTTTCGTGAATACAAATTTGTTCTTAAGTTTTGTCTTACGCACATTTTTGGCGTAAGATCGTTTCGTGAATCTGGGCTCTGCACTTCCGAAAGTCGCAGGAAAGGTGAGACTGACGCAGACGACGTTGCGAGCAGACGACGTTGCAAAAGAGCAGACGACGCTCAGAGAGGGGGTCGCGACCAGCCAATCAGGGCTCGGCGTTCTGACGTCACCGCTACCCCCCGCGCAAGAAGCAGACGAACTTGCCCTCCGCATAAAATTGACCAGAGTAAACCAAGCCAAGGGTTTCTTTAGCTGTCACTCGATATACTATAAGTGACAATATGAGCTGCAACAGTCATTCGTGCTTCTTTAGTGTACCTGCCTGTTTTTGAGAGAGCCGCGGTCCAAACGCAGCTCTGTCACCGAACGTTCGTTCTTTGCAGAAATGTTGCGCTAGCACTCCAAGTTAGATCGAAAAGTGCGAAAGGAACCGTTTTCTCATCCGAAAGTACTGATTTTCTGAATTTTCAATGGAAACATGGGATCCGGTTCCGCACCTTCCCGGTAACTGCCGCCATTCAGCTCCATGCATGCATGAGCTCCGCTGCCGTCGTTTTAACTTTGAAAATTTTAGAAAATCGTCTGTACTTATTTTGTAAAAGAAAGGCTAGTTTTACAACTTTGACATCAGGTTTGTACCCCTAGGTCTTCTTTTGGGGGGAAAATTAGCGTTCGGCGATGCATAGTTTATTTTTTGCATTGAAAACATCCCTATAATTTTTTTTTAAACACTAATTCGGAGATTGAGACATAATGCAATTTGGAACCAGAGACTTAGGAAAAGCACGCATCGGCTGTTTCAGCGCGTATTGTCCCCGGGGGTATCTCCGCAGATAAAGCCATTTGGCTCATATTTACTTCAACTTACCCTGACTGCCGAACCAAGGTAAGGAACGACAACGGCGTAAACAGTCATCATAATTCCGAACAAAAATGCTGTTGAGAAAAAGGCAAGGGTGTTAAGTGAACCATTGACTTGAGAAATTGTTTTATGTCCGCTATATGATTAGGTATTCTACGGACTTAACGTAAAGGCACCAGTGATGTGCTCTACAATGAACACTTTGAAGCAGTCCACAACTGAGAAATACGAAAGGGGCCACCAAGAGACCACAAGCAGAATGTGTCAACAATTGTTCTTTTCCTAAACTGTTTATTTTGTGTCACGTTTCGTATTCCTCACTCTCAAATTGCTTACAAGTGTTACGTATTACGCGTAAACAGACATATTTAGTCAATTAAAACTTGTTGTTGGCCTAGTTGCTTCATGATGCAGTATAGAGGTTTTTTGCGCGACACAGGGGACAATCACAAGCGAGTAGACACGGACAGTTGAAAGTTTGCGCTTGTCCGTGTCTACTCGCTTGTGATTGTCCCCTGTGTCGCGCAAAAAACCTCTAGACATATATAGGATTGTCAAAAAATATTTCGCGATACACTACCCCAGCACTAAAGTACCAATCCAGTATAGATCTCGCAATCAATGATCAACGTTTGGTATATACAAAACCGTTTATCTTGATATACGCCGTAAATTTATACTTTTTATTCTAAATATCAGGAGAAGAAAAATAATGTTTTCGCTTCACATACTGAGTGTTCGAGAGTATAGATCACAGTTATATTTTTGTACACATCTAACAATAGATTAAAATACAAGTTTATTTTATATATATATTTAATTTGCCAACTAGTTAAAAAGACTGCTATACCTAATGCGCGCATCGCACCTGAGGCCAGCGTGCATTCTACGACGTGTGCAGTCTTGACAAAGCCTTGCCTTCCGGTTACTTTTCTTGTGTGCAGACTGGATTTCATTAGAAAAATACACGCGTGTTTAAGACTAAGAATTAGGTTAATAAAATATTTTGCTTGACATTAGTGCTCAAACTCGCAGATTGGTGACGTCTTCGGTATTTGTAGAAACACAAGAATGCGTAATGAAAAGTGTGAAATAGTGATCTTAAATTTTAGCGTGACTAGAGATAGTACCATATGTATTACTTTGGAGTAACCATGTGCTAAAATTGTTTCCATCTTGTATAAACCACGTGGCGGCTATTTGACTCATAAGCCATGAATGATGTTTTATTTAAAATATAAGCAATAGTTTCTTCTAAGAAAATAATATTGCGTACATGTCATACATAGACCAACATACGATAACGTCAGTGCAAAGCTTATAATGCCGATAATGGTGATTTTACATGCGCAGAATATGTATAATTGTGTCATTGCTGCTTCATGTTACTTTTGGTCATCGACTTCTGAAGAACCAAGGAAGTGTTCTACACTATTACATACTTCCTGAAATAAGTGCGTCAGTTACTTACCAAGGCCTTTTGTTAGCAATGTCACGTGCGAATCACTGAGTTTCTTGTATTGGGACACAACATCTACGTAACAGACAGCCGCTTGCGAATTAATAATGGAAGAAATGGTGCTGATGTTCCAGAAATGACGCCAGTTTTTCATTCGTTTTAATTTTGATGACAGGACACCAGTGAGGAGAAAAACATGGGAGAATAAGACAAACATAAAATCAGTCACACTCTCTAAAATTTGACTGTTATGTTGTTCATGCCCGCTCACCTGGTGGCGGCGCTGACAACACCTGTTAGAAACAACCCAGAAAATCCAGGAAGGTCCAAGAGATTTTGCTTTACGTAGTATGGAAGTATCTGCCACCGAAAATAAACACCATAGCTCTTATTATTGGTTTCGCCTGAGTAGCCACAAATCAAGTCCCTATATTCACAGCCTCAGAGTAAATACCCTTCCGTTGAACATAGGCAAGGATGAGTAAGCCTTTGAGAAGGGTTTCGCAAAAAGCAACATCACATCGGAGCGTGCTGACCAAAATGCCGGCCTCAGCATAGCGCGGACTGTGTATCTTCATTTTTATTTGTGAGAAATATACTATAGTCTTAATATAAATTAAACGAAAGAAAACTTGGAGGATGCTTAAGCTTCGCCTGTAAGAGTGGAACGGGATAGCGTTATCGGGCCACGTTCGCAAAGCCTTCTTATGTAAACCCGAGCTCGTTCCCAAGCCGTGCAAGCGTGTGTGCGGAGCTTAGTCGGTAGCGTGACATCATGTGTGAAGTAGCCCATGACGTCACGCGTGTTACGTCATCTGACGTCACATATGTGACGTCACGTGGGACGTCACTTTTCAGAAAACGTCACACGTGACCGTTGTGGGTTGTTTGAAGTTTCCGCGTGAGATCAGATGACTTCACAAGTGGCTGTGACGTCGTGACCCTCTCGACCAATCAAGTATTCCCGGTCCCACCGGAGGCGATGACGACACCGACACCGATGCCGGATTTTTTTTTTTTTTAATCGCGTTAAAAGTAAGGTTTGTACAGCGAAATGCATTACCTGATCAAATTTCTTGATGGCACCAGTCAGCATGGGGTCACAGTCCCGGTACCAGTAAATTAGTGCGAGTGCCATGAACCCAATCACAATCATGTAGAAGACATTGAGGGCGATGCCTATCACCATAATTCTGAAACAAACACTTTATAATGACGCCATGCTGGTTATATTCACTGATATATATTTTTTAAGGAAAGCTGAAGAGGTTCTTGGAAGAAAACAAGTTTGTTAAATTATAGCGTATTCTAATGTGAAACGTTCTTTGACTAGGTTTTTGGCATTTTGTGAAGCCCGGATAAAAGCGTGGCCGCGAGGCTCAACTATGATTGGCTGACAACTTGGAGAGGAAGAGCGAGGTGCTCGACGCTGATTGGTTAACGGGGAGGTCATGTGACCAGACGGCTGGGCGAGAAGGGTAAAGGTAGGCGAGGAGGAGCTCCACCACCCTTGGAATGTTGCAAGGTATGTAAGCCTGATTATGGTAGTATCGCTCCATTTTAAGAACAATTATTACGCGTACACATGGTACGCGTTAAACTATCGGATGAAGAGCGCCGTGACCTTATCCGTCTGCAGTCTACAAACTCAGACTGTAGCTAAATGTTCGTGACGCTAGAGCGTTTTATGTAGGCCACACAAATGCCTAGCCATTTGCCATCAATTTGTGCTTTAGTGATTCTATCGCTCCCATAAATAAACAGTACTCAATGCACTTTTTGAGATATATTTTTTTAAACACACATTTTGATAAGGCGTCGTTAAGTGGCTTATCACAGTGAAAATATTTGAGTTTACTTTTGATATCTTGTCAAATTTATAGATTTGTGAAACTATCAGTTCTTATGTATTATACATCTATCGATATTTCTCCTATCTTTTTTCTTCATATGAGCGGTTTGGGCAGATGGTTTCATTCAACAAAAAATAGCGATGAAAAGGCGTATTATCTGTACAAATCGGTCAGAGGAACCGTCAAACGACGCATTGTAGTTGCAGTAAGTGTTTTATTCACCGCGTATGAAGCTGGTACTGCACGCAGGGAATTACGCCTTAAGGGTTATTCTCTTGGGTTGATCTTATAACGTCGGACTTCGCCTGGCTTGAATACCGAGAGCAGCAAAATGATTTGAATCCTTCGTGCTTATTTTTTTAATTTTTATTGTCGATGCAGGAGTTTTTTAAGTCTTGCCTTTGTGCGTCCCTCAGGGTCCTGGAGGCCAGATATCTTTGAACTACCGTCTGATCCATTCCAGCTCGAAACAGGTTGTGCACGTAGAGTCCCAGGAAGCAGGACCAGAAGTTTTCATCACTCGTGAAGTCCAAGTTCATTCTACGACGAGTAAGTGAAAAACACAAATTTTAAATGTATACAGAAAATAGTTTTCGTTTCCTTTGATGCTATCTTGTTGGCGATATTGCGAACGGTCCCAGAATCTTCCCTAACACTGCGATCGTCCAGTTGTTTCCTTTGAATAGTGATGTGCGAAGAAGTAAATCTTGACGTACATGAATGCGCCGCTATTTATTTGAATGCAGAATAGATTGTTAAGCAGAGAACACGTGAGCGGTAAAACTGGGTGCCGCGCGAAGCTCGCCGTACGCCGCTAGGTGCTCCACAGTCGCACCGCGCGGCCTTTTTGGAACCGAGCAGATGCGAGCGCCACGGTGCCGCGATAAAAGACTTAGGGAAGTCAGCATCGGTTGGCATGAATACTGTCGAGCGGCATTTGTTTTTTTTGCTCGTGTGTTTGCTGCTTTACAGAAGCTAGCTGTCACAAGTGTCCATTTTGCGCCGTGGCCTTGAACAATGGCAGCAGACATAAATACATGCATACGTTTATTACGTCATGAACCAGTGCATGAAATGTCTAGGCCCGCAAAAGCAGGTGTGTGCTTGTGGGCGGGTCACTGTTGCAATGGATAGGATGTTACTACTCTTATACTCTTACAACTAGGAGAATTCTATCAGGTGGCGAGCTGTCGACCATGTGAGCCGCGTACCATTTGCGTACCCTTTCAGTGTTAAATACACTTCGACAATCCCCTCCCCCCCCCCCCCCCCCCCCCCCCACCCCTTCAGGCTCTTGTGCCTCCCTCTGTGCTGTTGCAGAAAAGTACAAAAGCAAAGAAAGAGCGACGAGGGGAAGTTCTGAATAAACGCCGTGGCCGGAGACAGGACGACGGGTATTGAACTTGGGCCGGTGCTGCCTATCCCTGAATGCAACATTGTTAATTGAGTTTTTATTGGTGGATCAAATTAAAGCTTCAAGTTGTTAGATTATTATAAATTAGATTATTATAAATAGTATAAATAGGTTTTAGTTGGCTTTTTATACGTCTGGTATGAATATATTCCATTTAGATAGAAGCTTTCCTTTGTCTGACATTTTCTTCCCTTGAGTTTTTATTTTTTTTTGAATAAGCATTACTGCTCGGTTTTCGATGTCCTCGATATATTAAGTATTTCTGGAGCGGTTCCCACACGGCTCTTGCACGCTCTAAATGAGGTCTCACCAATGTACGATATGCCGCTTCTTTTAGAATTTGGGAAGCTGTGCGTAAGTTCCAGGTGATTGAACGAAGAACCCTACCTTCATTATTCAGCATTATATTAATATATAGATTAAACGACAGTTTTACAAAAATAATAACGCCTAGATGTTCAAATTCAGACACTTTTTGTTTCGGATCCTTTCCAAAGACGTAATATATGTCAATACCACTTTTCTTTTACTAAATGTGTCATGAGCGTAATTTTCTGTTTAAAATTAATTGCCGATTCTGGCACCATACACTGACGCGATCCAATTCCTGTTTTAGCAGTCACACATCAGCTGTATTATTTATGCTTCTGTAAAGTACGAAATCATTCATGAATGCCTTGATATTAGAGGAGGCACATGATGATATATCATTAACGAAGACTAAAAATAATAGTGGCCCCGAAACAGAACACTATGTGACACCCCAATTTACGTTCGCATATTTAGATTTCTCATTTCCCAAAACGACACATAATTTTCTCGTAATCAGGTAGTCTTTTATCCATGTCGATATTGTATTACCTATTTTTAGAGCACTCATTTTATGTAACGATATACGCTGAGAAACAGGATCGAACGCTTTGTGAAAATCGCGTCTGTACTGATAGCCCACGCTAATCAAGAAAAATATTCATCCGTGGCGCGACTTATAATATTTTTGTAAATTATTTCCATTTCTCTTAAGCGATCTTCAAAACTGGTGTGTGTGTGTCGGTTCGTTTTTTACATTTCTTATACATACGGGAGCACTGTTTTACTATTTTGTCGTTTTATTGTTCATCTAGGGTTTATCAGGTTTTGGCTTGTTGGCGTTAAAAGGGAATATTCCACATCAAATACACAATGAATCAGAATTTCTAGACAACAATTCAGCCATATGCCTTCCCAACTCACTCTCAAGACTTCTTACTATTTCGCTATAAATGGCCTTATTTTACATGTACACTTTTTTATTTTACAGCCAACATTGAATATTGAGGCACGAGGAACTTAGCAGTAACAAGGTTATGGTCACTTATTTCCGGTAAAACATTCACATCTCCAGCAAGGCTTGCATTTTTATATAGTACTAAATCAAATATACTGGCTGCCCCCGTAGAGGGCCAAATTAACTGCACAATACAATATTTGCTGATCACATCATAAAACGCTGAAACATTTCCACTGAGTGGTATAGCTCTGTACCATTTAAACCTTGGTAGACTAAAATCCCCCGCCAATGTGATACGGTGATCGGGAAATGAGGCCACTATAGAATCTAATAAACTTACCATTTAAAGCTTGGTAAATTAAAATCCCCCGCCAATGTGATATGGTGATCGGGAAATGAGGCCAACATAGAATCTAATAAAGTGACATTTGCGGCACTTGCTCCGGGAGGGTGATAAAAAGAGCCCAGCGTCATATTGTACCTCTATCACGTACAATCCTAACCTACACCACACAGACTCGGCATCTTTACATTTAATATCCATTGCAACACTGCCCAGCAGTTCTTTTATTTATAGCATACACACCCTCAAGCTTCTTAACTTTTCTATAATCATGATAATCACTAGGAAATAATCCATCGTCTTTCACAGTATCGTCCTACCATATGACTCAGTTGCCAAGACGGTATCTGGATTAAGAAACTGCAGTAAGTCATTGAAGCCATCGACTTTATTTCTGATACTGTGACAGTTTAAAAGGAGGACAGTGCACTCAGCCATGCTACTCTGCGCTGTTAAATGTCGTCATTGTCCATTTATTTCTGTCACATATTTTATATCATCATCCCAAACCTATGCTTCGAGTTCAACGTTTATGATTTATGTCGTGCACCAGTGAAACTTTCTCCTGACTGCTTTGCATTCTTGCCTCGCCAACAGTTTATAACTTACGTCGAATATGTTTGGCACGCGGTGAAAAGTCACTCAAAATACCGTAGTTAGTGCCTTTCAATTTCTTGCAATTGCTAAGAATTTTGTCGGTGTCCTTGTATGATTCAAAGTTCGCAAAAATCGGGCGATTTTGGTTGGGCCCATACTTCCCAATCTTTTTCCATATCCCCAATCAATACCTTCAACCTATCCAGGCAAAAGGGCTTAATCCAAGTTTCAGTTGTTTACTAACTCTCAAGTGGATTACGGTCCTGAATACCATAAGGAATACGATTTTGTCAACGGCTCTGATTTTCTAAGTCATCTAGTTTCCTAGCCTTGCCTTCCACGTTTTCTGAGTATTTTTCCGTATAAACCCGCACCGTGCCTCGCTCACTATGTTCAAACGCGTGTATCTTGGATTACTAGTACTTGCTCCTGGCCACAAAATTGCTGATCAGACCATCAAAGTTAGTTTGTCTCTTTTTTTATGTCGCCCCATTTCGCAAACATTGCTAGTTACACAATATATAATAAAATACCGTTAGAGTTTTGCTAAAAAAAAATTGTGTTGGGCAACGCCTTTACTAAGTCGAACTCCTTCATCTTCAAAATATTCTAAGAGTCGACGAACCCAGTCCAACCCCGAGATTTAACGAAAGTTCGGGATATGACTACCTTAGTCTACGAATTCTTGGAATATACTGAAAGCGCAAGCTCACGTGTCGGAACGTGTGCCACATCAAGGTTCAAATCATTTCTGCCGCGAATGACACACAAACAAGTTGCCAAAAAAAATCGACAACATAAGTTAATATGTCGAGGCCAAACCGCTTCATAATTCAAATTATTCATAATTCACCTCCACCATACTGTTAGGATAATGCTGTCGGTAACATTGAGTACAGGACAGGTGACGACAGGAGCTAGAATGATTTATGGAGGCCGAGCCCGCCCGTGGGGCCTGGCGAGACAGGGTTGTGCGCGCCGCTGCCCCGTCGTCGTCTTCATATTTCTAACAATATTGACGGTCGTAAACTTTAGAACATTAGAACATGTGTTTCCATGTTAGTTACTAAAGCCATCGAAATGGGGGGACGGTTTTCTACTTCAATAAATTGGTGAGTTCTAAGTAAAGGGTCGCAATGGATTGGCTGGACGTAATCAACTGAGGGTGGCTGAATCCAGTACCATATTTTTCGCAATATGGTGCGCACCCGATGAATACTCCACAGATGACAATTACGGTAGAAAATAAGCAATGTGTTTCCTTAAATAATCCGCACCTCGTGAGTATTTTGCAGCCAGTGCATAGTCCTCCCCTGATGCCTACTCAGCACGTCAAAATTTTTTGCAGACAGTAGACTTTGACAAATGCCTGCTTTATTAACTAAAAAAGGAGCAGTCACTACAAATAAATCCATTTTAACGTACACTGCGACTCAGAAATATCGCCATATCTTGTCATAGTGAACAATCTAGAAAACCAGCTATTGTATAGTCAGCACCTGATGATAGACCTCACTGCGTAAAATGAACAGCTTTAAGCGTCAACAAGGTTTTTCCCGAAACGTGAGCCAGCACCTTCCTGCGATCGCACGTAAAAAAAAAAAAAAAGTTAATGTCGTATTTATTTTTGCGGAAGGGCCCATTTGAGAAATATTTTACCGTGATGTATAACTAGTTTATTGAATATTTTCGAAATAATGACTCTTTAATTACTGAATTTATTGGTATGGATTCAATTTGAAACTTGTTGAGGATCACCGAAAACCATTAAATCAACTAATTTCGCAAATATGGAAGGCACATGAAAAATCTTACGGCATTTAAAAAAAAAAGACGCTCAAATTGAACGTGTTTTTAGATTTTGATTATCTATCTATACACCATAGTTCCTGCCCCCGTTTCCCCTCCCTCCCCCCCCCCCCCCCCCCCTCACCGTGGCCTGGGCGCTTTCGAACTGAGCGGTTCCTTTTTTTTTTTTCGGAATGCAGTAAAAGTCTGTACGTGCTTCCTATATTTCTAAAATCAGTTGATTTTGTAATGCGGTGGCACACTGCTATTTCCTAGCTGAAATCCTACCTTTCAATTCACTGATTAAAAAAGTTACTTATTGGAACGCAATCAATGAGGCAATCGTCGATTATTTATATTTCCAAATGTGCCGTCTCGGAGAGATAAATATGACTAACCTGCTTTCTCTGTGCGATGCGCACATTTCCCAGTAACGATTAGGCTGAAGGTTGGAGAAACGCCCTGTACGTTCTCGCGTATAGTCAGAAAATTATGTTTACCTATTTAATTTCTACACAGTTTCAGTGAAAAAAAAAATTGTTCGTCTTTTTTTTTCTGAAAAAACATTTTACAATTGGCATTTACTGCGTTATTCTGTCCTAACCTTCCGCTATGAATATTTTGCAGGGTAGCGAGCGAACGACTGCTTTCTCAATTTCCTGATTTGAAACGAGTGTATTACAAACTTATGTTGCCAGAACACGAGGCTGTGACAAGAGGATGTTAATAATTTCTGATGCATGATAAATCCAAAGCACCTGGCTGATTAAACCACTGAAGCCGTGGGTTAATCGTTTGGGTGAATTCAATGCTATCGCCCGTTAGCTACAACCTACAATCCGAACTTTACGCTCATTTTTTGTATAAAATTAACGAACGCAAAAATGCAGTATACGCGGTAGAATAATTTTGGAAATGAGATTAATTTGTTGGTGTCACGCATCTTGTTTGAAAAGTGGACCCTCTTCGAATATGGATGTACAAAAAGCGGCATCTGTTTTCTCACACAAGTGAACATTGGTGAGAAGGACAGCGGACTTATAAGCTTGTTACACGTTAAAAAAGCGCTCAAAAATACGCCGGAAGGCCACAGAGTTAAAAGTGCAAGTTTATGAGACGCTATAAAACACCTGCGTAGTTTTAATTAGATTTCTATCCGTCTTGTTTATGCTGGCCATCCCTGTCGTGAAATAGTATATTAATAGACAGTGGCCATGTTTCCCGAAAACCAAGTTTATCCCTCCTTGCCTGGCACAGAACTATTATCTACTTTAAGTACGCACGTTCTATACGTTCATTTGCGGGACCATTTTTACGACATTTGTACTATCTTAACGTAAGCCTCGCTGATTCATAGGGTGCATAACTATTTGATATAAAATCGGCAGCTGTTAGAGAGCGTCAATTCTTTCTATAAGTCAGTCACTCACCTGAAGGAAAACTCTTTGATGTCAAAATCACTGAGCGGTCTTAGTTGGACGTCCTTATGCGAGGAATCCAAAATTACTTTGGCAATGACAGTGACGGGTGCCATTAAAATGAGGACTGCCTGGACACAGTCTGTCCAAACGACGCCGCGTAGACCACCCTGTAAGAGCAGGCGAATGACAGTGATAGATTATCAGCCTCTCTTCCTTATCACCTGCTGTGACTGAGCTGTTAGATAACCTAGTATCCAAAAGAGTTTCTTTGATATCCTCAGTATGAATCATGTCGTTTCAAAGGTTTGCCTTAACGTTACTTAACAAAACATAACGTAATTATTATTATGCTTAGTTGGACAGTTTTGATGTACACACCTAAGTATAACCGTGAAAGGCGAGTTCGTCCGGCGTTTGCGCAAGGCAAGTATATTTAAATGAGAAATTGTTGTATGATTTTTCGGAGCCACCAGTTTTTTTTTTCTTTTGTAAGGAGTAAAGTACGCCAGAGTAATATCCTTAAAAGGGTTAACTTTCAAATGAAAAGGTTGGCGTTTTTTTATATATGCGTTGTGTATTCAATGCCTAAAGAAATAGTTGTTATCATATAAAGTATGCATGTCTGACATGCGCGAGTCTTTCGTGCCTAATCATTGCATCTGCCGTTTACTCTAGTCACAACCTACAACTAGAAACTCCGGTATAAAAATAAGTATGTCTCACTTCTATACACTAGAAATACGCTGTGGCAGATATAATGCCGTACAAGCACCATTTTGAACGTGCATCGCGCAGCAGTGATCACACGAACGTACAAGGCACAATACCGGTTGATATAAAACCTCGAGTTGCCGTTTAAAATCTGATGAACGTGTCTGCAGCGCCAGCGTTTGATTTACGTAGCGGAAATTTACGTTGAGATAAGACCTTCGTCTACACCGAGCCTTTGACTCTTTCGGTGCCCTGATGGCCATCTGGCCCACAATACGTCGTTTTTCTTCCAAATTCTCTCTCCAATTGTTGTTTTATTAACAGTTGAGTAAAATAACTATTGGGAGCACTTTCCATATCTCGGTGGTTGTCATTCCCTTTTATCCAATGGCGGTCCTACCGAAGAACCAGCTTCAAAACGGACCTTGGCATACGAGGTTTTCAGGTGTAAACACCGACTTTATAATACAATTTTATAATTTATATAGCGCTTTACTGAAAATGCTGCGTTTATGGAACTACAAAACATGCCCCAAATTCGTCGACTCGTATATGCTAATATTTCTTACGCGCCCCTAAATATCATACAGTGTGTATCTTGGTACACAGGTAACTTTGTGTTTTCTAAAAGGAAAAAAAAATATCTGCACCATGCTGCGTGGTGCAGATATCGTGGACTTAGAGAGAAACAGCTCCACTGATCGGCGGAGCGGTCAATCATTCGATTCACTATATGAAACACAGCTGGGTGAATTGCTACCTTACTGCGACATACACTCGACGCAGAGTCAGATAGTTTTGAACTGTGATATGGAAGATCAAGCTCACGCAGCCGGAAAGAACGCAACTGGATCTCAGCGATCGAAGGTGACAACTGTGAGTACAACGAATCGAATGACGCAGACTTCGAAAGACACTACTCAACTAAGTAGAACAGAGGAACAGATCCGACCGCCATCCGGTGTTCACCGTGAAGTTATTTTGGCTGGAGACAGCAATGTGGCGCTGTTTGCTCGAGCGCTTTCTGAAGGCGTCGGCGATTACCGGAGTATGGAAATAATACTGAACAGAGATGGAACGCTCGAGCAGATTCATGAGCTGATTGAAACAAACGTAGAGCGAGCAAGATAAGTTCCTCGTATGTACATCCTCCATGTGGGTATGAACGATATATTACAAGGTGGTCAATCAGATGCTATAATAGAATGCTTGAGACTGAATTGGACGAAGCGTAAAAACGCACTTGCCATCTGCTCAGTTCCGGAGATTCACAGCAGAGCCAAGCAAGCTGAGATAATGCTGCTTAATATTAAATTAAAGCAGCTGTGCAAAAGCATCAAAGCACGGTTTATAGACTTTACCCTAGACTTTGAAAATACAAATGTAATCCAGAAAGATGGGATTCACTATCAGCAGTTAGGAGTACAAATAGTGACAAACCGGCTGTGGACCGCGGCAAGCCGTTTTTTAGGGCTTCGGTCACGATGGAGCAAGCAGAAAAGCTGGTTAATGAACAACAGGCACAGGAAGAACCAGGCACCAGTACATCGCGTGCCAGCTGCGAGACGCGACTACACACAACTGGTTCCGGGCTCACCCCGTTCTCGTTCCAACATGAGACCACACGTGATGACCAGCGACTCTGGATACAATCAAACGCCGACTAGGATAGGCCTGGGGTATTCCTCAGAGTACCTGAAGGAATACCCATCAGTGGCGGGACTCGAGATGCGGCCTCAAGCTACCAGTGCGATGTGGCCTGTACACCCACAAAGACAATGCTCCATACTACCCCTCCGCAGGGAAACGGATCACAGGGACAGCCTTCGTTCTGGGTGCGACAAGATGCTGAACAACTTATTCCCAGAAGGCTACAACTGTCACCCTGCCAAACCATTTTCTGCCACCCACGAGGGAACCGAAACTGACCGACAGTTTTGCTCCAGTGCCGGACGTCCGGCCTCACCATTGGATCACCGGGGACTTCCCTCGGCACCCTGCTTCTCTTCCATCGATGGAGGCGATGCACTTCGTGCACCAAGTGGTGCGACAACAGTTGGAGGACATGTACCGACAGAAGAGATAGGAAGTCGGGGTTTCGGAACGGAATACGAAGTCGATCACGTCTACGTTCCAAACACGCCGTCGAAAAAAGCGAAGTGTGGTGGTAGGCTTCTTGAATGTGAATGGTGCAAGGCGACAGCGAAAGTGGCATGAATTGTACGCGGTTCTTTGCAATAAGGGTGTTTCTCTATTTGGGGTAGCGGAAACCCACTTGCGAGATATGGAGAACCCCCTATAGAGCCAGCCTGGTGCTGGACTGGCTGCAATAGAGTTGAAGGAGAGCGGCGAGGTGGAAGCATTGGACTCCTTTGGTTCAGTAATGGACAAACATGGCTTCGAACATCCGAATATTGCCGGGAACACCTATGGGTGCATGGAAAAATTGGCAACGTATTGGCAGCTGTGTGCATCATTTATATTTCTGTGGGTAGCAACCACCACGAAGAAAATAGAAACGTCCTTGAGCGTGTTCGACGAGATATTCACAAATTGGATCGAGGCATCTCCGTGCTTATATTGGGGGATTTTAACGGACATCTTGTTGAATTAGACATGCGGGAAGATTGCAACGGCAGGATGATGAGACAATTGGCAGAGGATCTCGAACTGGAAATATTGAACGTAAGGGAAGAGCGTGAGGGACAATATACATGGACAGTGCGAGACCATCGGACCTGCATAGATTATGCACTCGTGTCAAACAGACTTGGCAGGCATCTTCAAAAAATGGTTGTGGATGAAGAGGGCGAGAACAGTGTCAGCAGCGACCACAACAGCATCTTCCTGCAGTTTGGTACTGTTGGAAAAACTCGGAATTGCACGCCGCGCAAGGTTACAACCCTACTGCGCAAAGAAGACATAGATACTGTTGTCCAAAATTTTGAAGATAGTACTCGACGTGCGCATGCCCGCAGCTATGATGATTTTGCAGCCGAGCTTAGGATAACCATTGCTAAACACTCCATCGTAAAGAACACGGGAGGAAAACGAAACCTTGTTCCATGGTGGGATGTTGAAATTAAACAAGCAATTCAAATGCGACAGGTATCTAACCGGCGACATAGACAAGCGGTAAATACCTTTGGGAAGAATCCTTTTACTTTACGACTATGGGAGGAGTATCGAAAGAACTAGGCAATCACGCAAGACATTGTGGAAGCAAAAAAACAAACACGCGAATGCAAGGTCACGGCGGAGATTAGAGATGGCGGAAAAGGAGCTGTAGAAAAATTCGGGAGAAATATGAGATCTCTAGATGGCAAAGACAGTGGTCCTCAACTCCTTTATTGGGACAGTGGATGCCCAGTTCAAAATGTTGGAGAACTGCTTGAGCAACAACTCTACCTTCTGTTTGCTTCTGATGTGGAAATTCCTGAAGAAGACAGACATGACCAAATCTGGCTCAAAGAAGACTCCCCATCGATGGTCTCTACAGATGAATATGTAACCCTTGTGGGGCGGGTGCATATAAATCGCGCACTCACGAGATTACACGCGAATACATCGCAGGGCTTGGACGGAATCTTGGCTAAGGTGTTGAAACGCTTGAAATCAGATTCACGAGATGAAATAGCGGACCTATTTAGTCGCATAGTTCGCGGAGAGGATCCAGTTCCCAGTGATTGGAGACGTGGTCGAGTCACGTCCATTCCCAAGAAAAGAGGAAACAAACAACGATTGAGTGACTATCGCCCTCTCACTGTCACAGCTGTGGCATATAGAGTGTTTGCAACCATTCTCAATTTGCGCATATCCTATTGGGCCGAGAGTACTGGTGCCCTCACAGAACTACAAAACGGTTTTCGAAAGGATCGCCGGCTTGATGACAACGTATTCATCCTGACGCAGTGCATAGAGATCTCGCGGGCGGAAAAGCGGAATCTGATCTGTTGCTTTCTAGACGTTGCTAAGGCATATGACAATGTCCCCCATTCTTTGATGCTAAACAACTTCAACAGCTCAACATGCCTGAACCCTGGGTAGGCTTAATACAACGACTACATGATGGCAATCACGTGATGGCAACGTTCAACGGGGTTGCCTCAAATGACGTTTCGGTGTGCAGAGGACTACGTCCAGGGCCCTGCCCACTCTCACCTGTTCTTTACATGCTCTACACATCCGATATAGAGAGAGCACTAGAACGCACGGGCGTTGGCTTTTCCCTGCAACACACTCTGCATGGAGACGTCGTCTGTTGGCGGCTTCCTGGACTCGCGTTTGCAGATTACATTGTTCTTATGGCCGATAGCGTGTCAGACATGAATGTGCTGCTCATCGCTTGTGAAACAGAAGCGGCTCGACTTCAACTACGGTTCAATGCCAAAAAGTCGGAAATGGTACTTTTCTCCGGAGACATGGAGGGTCTTGAATCCCTAACCATTCGAAACGCTGTGCTCCCTGTTAGTACCAAGTACTAACAGGGAGCAAGTACCTCGGGGTACTCACTGTTAGTACCAAGTACCAACAGGGGGCAAGTACCTCGGGGTGACACTAACTACTTCAGCAGATTATCTGGCAGGACAGCGCCAAAACCTCGACATCGGCACTGAGAAAGCGCAATGTGCTTCGTCGAAAGAGCCTGTGGAGCTGCGACCGTTATTTAATAACCCGAGAACTGTGGAAAGCTGTCGCTGTACCAGGCCTCACTTTCATAAATGCTGTTACATCTTTCCCCAGCGAAATTAGGGAATGCCTTGAGCGACGGCAAAGAGAGATCGGGTGCCAGGCGCTGGGATGTCAAGGGAGAGTGCCTAATCAACTTGTACAGGGTGACCTTTGCTGGTCCTCGTTTGAGGCATGGGAGGCGAGCAGCAAGCTGGAGTATTACGCCCGACTGCGACATATGGACGGACATCGCTGGGCACGAAGGTTTTTTTTATACATTCATTTAAAGAACCTACACACGACATGGAGGGGGCGCACAAATCGATTCGGGACAAAGTACAGCGCCTTCTCGATGAGCGACGAGCCCTCTACAAAGAAAGATTGGGTTGCGAAGGCGAGAAGACAGATTAACACCGCCGAGACGAATCGGGGGAGAGCCGACATGGAAGAACATTCCAGCATGCACCTATACGCGGCTTTCAAGACCGACATCGCTGCCGTCCGCTGGTGTGGAAACACACTGGGCAGCCGACTCCTGGCCGAGGCCCGCGGTGGTGCCTTACGGACCCGCATCTACAGGCATCGGTACGATGTGAACGTGACCGAAACCGTGTGCAGTGCATGTGGTGAGGTAGAAGAAACTATCCAACATTTGCTCCTTGAGTGTCCAGCAATCGTACCTGCGACAGACGTCGGCACCCGCATTGAGCAGGCCCTTGGTTTTGCGGAGGAGAACAAACATCTGATGTGCTCAAAGAGAAGGCTCGAGGCATGGTGGAAAGTCCACTCGTGATACTTCAGAGTGCCTACGAACCATTTCTCTGACATTCTAGTTAATTTTCTTTCCATTATCTTTTTCTTCTTTTCTTTAATGGCATGTCTATTTTATAGACGCTCGTTAAACAGAGCAATTGCCGCCAGAAATGCATACATACCGTATTTACTCGAATGTAACGCGACCAAGATTGTAACGCGAGAGGTAACTTTTCACAGCGCAAAAAAAAAAAAAAAAAGAAGAACACGAATGTAACGCGAGTTAAGTGAGAGGAAAAAAAGTACCTTAAAAAGTACTACAACGTGGTCCGCGGAAGCTTTTTCGGCCGGGTTCACACTTGAAGAGCACTTCACGCTGGAGCCTCCACCCACGAATAGTCGATTCTGTCATATCTAACCGTCGAGCCGCGGTAGAGTTTCCGATATCCTCAGCCATCGTAATTGCACTTCTTTCAAAGCGGGCGTCGTACTGAGCTCGTCGCGTCGCCATTTGCTCGAGACTTCAGTCGCGGAAGCACGTAGCAGCAGCTCACAAAACGCGGACAACACGGGCACATGGGTACGGTAACCCTAACAGAAAGAGAAAGCGTTGTGAAGGTACTGAAGGTTGCGAAGGCCGAATTTTTCGTTGAGTGTTAGGTAGTGACACTTCATGCTTACCAGAGCAGTGTATACTGTTCCGGCCAGTCCGATTCCCATCGTCGTCCATATCAGAGGCACGTTGAAAACTGAAAATGACGTAAAACAATTCTGCATCTGAGGTGTCGATCACGACAGTAGATGATAGTTGGGAGGCATGGAATCCTAGGCAGAACCACCCTAAGCTTACCTGTCGCAGTGGCAAGTGAAGCTGAAAAAAGTGCAACTGCTCCGATGGTTTGCTAAAAAAGAAAAAAAGTAAAAAATAAACATTCATTTGACACGAAATATATTCTGCATTTATGATATGCCTGCCTATTCATGATTATTTCTCTAGGCTATCGTCCCTGCCAGGCCATGAAACGCGAAGCGTAGTCAAGTATGAACACGTTTCTTACGTCGTAATTTTTCCTTGGCCATTTTTATCGGCTACTGCATGAATCTCATTAGCTCCGTGGCGATAACAAGATACTCGCAACTTTCCAGGCCATGCGCTTCGCGAGCTCTCAGTGGCTACGTCATAAATGCGGAATCTCTACCGGAAAATTCGTTAAAGAAGTCACCAAAAAACCGAAACCCTGCCCTTTCACATACTTCGTTTCGCCTTAAGTACTTCGTTTCACCTTAAGTCAAGACGCAGCCGGCGCTACCCGTTAATGGGAGCTATGGAGCAGCGTCAAAAGCGCCAGTCAATAGAGAGTTTTAAGGAAGCCTTTTTGTACATCCGATACGGATCGAGGGGCCCTCCGGGACGAACTGCGCATGTGCGAGTCATCTGCGGTAGCGCATGCGCAGTTCGTACCGGAGGGCCAATCGTACCGTATCGGATGTGCGCAAACGGTTCCCTAAAACTCTCCAATAGCCCTTTTCCTGTTTACGATTGGTTCAACGAGGATAGAACACGTCCAGAAACATGACGAACGTAAGCCACTTCTGCGACAGCGTCGGCTGCTCGTACACTTAGGGTGAAACGTTGCATACAGTTCCGTTCATGTGGAACAAGCAGTGATTTACTTCAATATATAGGGTGGTTCAAGTCACCAGGCTCGATCTAAAACGGATTGTAAAAATTGACGCCTGCACGCATCCGTCTAAACTTTTCGTCAATGGTGTATTTCACAGGTCGGTTTTTTCTTGTAAAATTACAAAGCGTAGTACTCTTTTAGTAAAAAAATAGAGCCAAGAAACTTGCCAAGATCTACGGCGGGCGGCGACCCAGACGACCAAATACAGTAGCGGGGTGTGTTTGGCGTTTGTATTGATAGATGGCGTCGGGAGCAGCACCTAAAGGTGCGACCGACCAGCGAAAGATAGCAGACGACACGTAGACGAAATCCGTTAGCAGCTATAGCGCCGCCTTTATGCAGACGCGTTTTTTATTTTTTTTTTATATTAAGCTTTGCTTGTAATTTTCGCATTTATTTTTTAACCGAAGGTACATTTCAAAAAGATTATATTTATTTTAAACCACGGTGGTCGCGAGCCGTCGCGATAAGGAGGTAGCTCCATCTATCAATACGAACGCCAAACACACCCCGCTACGGGACCCCTGTCGTCTGCGTTGCTGCCCGTCGTAGACCCTGGCAAGTTTCTTGGCCTTATTTTTTACGGAAAGAGAGCTACGCGTTGTAATTTTACAAGAAAAAAACGACCTGTGAATTACACCTTAGACGAAAAGTTTAGATTGCTACGTGCAGGCGTCGATTTTTACGGTTCATTTTAGATCGAGCCTGGTGACTTGAACCACCCTATACGTTATAATTGAAGCGCCGAGTTCCCACGTCTTTAGACATCGACATTTTGAGAGATGCGCGGTAAGGCATATTATGTTCATTTTTTGCCTCGTAATTCGTTGTGCTGCGTTCTTATGGGCTAACGACGCTATATCATTGACAAAGGATCATGAAATGCCCAGGAATCGATTGTCACGACCGGCGTCTCTAAAGACGTCGTGACTCTTGTCGTTTGAACAGAAACGCCGAACACAAGAACAATACGTACAAGAAATATTAGATATACACGATTATTATGACCATATAAACACTAAGCATAAGGCGATATCAATCAAGAAAACATTTCTCACGCTGAGGAAGAGATAGATGGCACATGCTGCAAGTCCCACTTTGTTTCCGTACCGCATTCGAAGGTACTGCAAAGAAAAAGAAAACAAAAATTGAAAGATGTTTACAATTCACTGTAATGCCGAATCAGAGCCCAGCTTTTGAGGAGGAACAGAGGAGGGTACGGATGGGAAAGTCACGTGTGACGTCACGTAGCGTCAGACGTGACGTGACCTGTGACGTCACGATGGTAAAATTTTCCTGCCATTCTTAACGAGAAAATTTTTCTGTTAGATTTAGCAAGGAAAGTTTTCCTTTGAATTTAGCGGAAAAATCGTTCCACTAGGTTCGGGGGGAAATTTTTCTGCTAAATATAGCGGGAAAAGTTTTTAGCTAGATTTCGAAGAAAAATTATCCCGCCTAATTTAGAGAAAAAAGTTTCACATTAAAGTTAACAGAAAATATTTCCCGGATCAAAAGGCGTCACGTGTGGCGTCACGTGACGCCACACGTGACGTCAAGTGCGGCGTCATTATGGGAAACGTACCATAATGCAAGACGCGGTTTCATTTCATTTCATTTATTATTCCCTCAGGGCCCGAAGGCATTACAGAGGGGAGTGGGCGGTCGACAGATAAAAATAACATAGTTGAACGAGGCAAAAATAGAAAAAAACAAAAAACACACACACACACACAGCAAAAACACGCGCTACGCATCATCTGTTAAAAAGTTGGTAATAGCATTTTTAAAATAAACAGTGTTAGTTATTGAGACTATATGTGCGGGAAGGCGATTCCAATCAATGGAGGTTTGGGGTAGAAAAGAAGCATTAAAAGTGGATGTGCTACAATGGGGAATCCCTACCTTTAGGTCATGGTCTACACGTGATGATATGTACGATGGTTCTAAAAACAATGCTTGACGGAGAGCGGGGTTAGAGTAGTAAATCTTGTGAAATAAACATAGACGAGATATTTTTCTTCGGAGAGAGAGATCAGGTAAGGAGAGGGACGATTTCATGGAAGTTACACTGGCTGTACGATGATAGTTCGAGAGTATGAAACGGGCAGAACGATTCTGAATAGATTCGACAGCTGATGCAAGGGTGATACCGGGGCTCCAGATAGAAGCTGCATATTCCAGTTTAGGACGAACTAGGGTTTTATAGAGGAGAAGTTTTAACGAAAGAGGAGCAAGCGAAAAGTTACGTTTGAGATAGCCCAAAAGCCTATTTGCGTTGTTAGTGACATATTGGACGTTGATATTCCAGGAGAGGTCGTTGGTTATGTGAATGCCGAGATATTTATAGGAGGACACAGAAACTAAAGTAGAATTGTTAATAAAGTAGGAAGGACAAGTGTTGTTATGACGAGATACTCTCATAGATGTACATTTAGTGATGTTAAGCTCCATGAGCGATTCCTTGCACCATTTGCAGATGTTGTTAATATCAACCTGAAGGGCGGAAATGTCAGAGTCGTTAACTATCTCTTTATAAATTACACAATCGTCAGCGAACAAACTAATAGAGGAAGAAACATGCACAGGAAGGTCATTGATATAAATAAGAAATAAGAGTGGTCCGAGTACGGAGCCCTGAGGGACACCGGAGTTAACAGGTGAGGGCGAAGAATTAGTGTCATTAGTTCGAACAAATTGGAAGCGATTCGTTAGGAATGATTTTATCCATGTGAGGACATTGGGATCTATATTAAGGTTACTAAGTTTATGAAGAAGTAGCTGGTGAGAAACCTTGTCAAAAGCTTTTGAGAAATCCAGGAATATGCAGTCAGTCGTAGAACCCCGGTCTAGAGTGAGGTGAAGATGATGAGTTAATGTTAGCAGTTGGGTATCACAGGAATAAAACTTTCGAAAACCGTGTTGAGCTGTGTTGAAAAAAGAGTTAGAGTCAAGAAAATTAACAAGATGTGAATATATTACGTGTTCAAGAATTTTGCAAGGGATGCTCGTTAGACGGACGGAGACGGCGAAGGCGTCGCCGCTCAAGCCGAAAACGCGCGCTTAATTGTAGGTTCACACTTGCGGATCCGCCAGCGAATCCGCTCCAGCTTTCGCCGCTGGGGCGAAACGCTGGACGCAAAAAATCTGCCGCCGAACAAGGTATTTCGCTGACCGGAAGTGACATTCTAGCGCAGCGCGACTCTGCATACGTCATGAGTACGCGTTCTTCTGGGAGCAGCAACTCCCGGGAGAGACAGCTGAGGTGGGAACTCTCGCGCCTTCTCGTCATATTTGACGGGATGTTGCGAGAACAGATGCCGCAGCCGGCCTCGCCGCCGCCGCTCGAAGGAAATAGATGTAAACGCAACCCGCTCGTCGCCGCCGCCGCCGGGACTGGATCCGCTCCCACGGCAGCGGATTTCTTCTCAGATGTAAACGTACCATAAGAGCTGCGCTCTCGACAAAGTCCTAATAGTGTTTTTATACTTGCTGATTCGCGGGCTGATCCGAGCGGGCGGAAAGTGGACTTCGGAGCTGGTTGGCGAAATTGACTCGTCGCCGGCAGAAAATTTGCATCAGTCCGGGCCCTTATTCAGGCTTTCCGACAGCGACCAGTCGATTTCGCCACTCTGATCCAAAATCCACTTCCCACCTGTGCGCATCCGCTCGTGAATTCGTAAGTGTATAACGCGCCATTATGCGGCGACAAAAAAACGCATTGAATGCGAGACGCCGAATTTCTGCGTTCGAAATGTCACACCTACGGCCATATCAAACTGCATTTTGCCGTTGCTGCCGTTACGACGCAGCATACTTTACATCGCGCTCTCTCGAGGGTAACGTGCGCATGCGCGATTCTGCGTGGTTTTCGCTCAAGGCGCCTCAGCGACGCGCAAAAAGAGCGGGGACGGCGGGTAAAGCGCTCTTATGGCATTTCACGTGACTTAACCCGGTCCTAAGCAGCACGTTGTGAATGACCCATCGCCTGGCCAGTGCACTATGGCCAACCAGATTTTCGATGGTCCAGGTTTGGCCAAAATGCTTGGATATAGCAGTGTTGATAGCAATCTCCATCCGTGATACCATGGATGGAGATTACATAGGCACATCGATCAAACTATCTCTGTGTTTATAGCCACCAGAGGATGCGTCGTATCATCTCCAACTGTAAAGTGGATTGAGGACCTCTTTTGTCGTCGCTTCTAATGTGTTTTTTTTTCTGCACTGTAGCCCGCACATGGTGAATAATCTACCTGGAAAGTTTTCGCCCGGAAAAATTATTTTCCCTACATAAGCGCAAAAACCGCAGGCAGAACAGTTTTCCAGCATTATATTCCTTGAAAATGCACGCTTTATTAGCGCACACACAAAAAAATCTTTTTATCATAGAAGCAAAATATTATCCTTAATGAAATGTATATATCACAAACTCCGTAGTGTCATTTTATAAGCAGACATATTAAAAGAAAAAAAGTATCCTAATACAGTCTGCACCCATAGAATATCTCCACAACGGTACAATTTTAACTTAAAGAGTATAGCCGCGTATTATAGCACGAAATTCGATACGTTTACATTGTTTTAAAAACACGATCCTCTGATAATCATATGCGCCTATGTTTTTTCAAAGAGCCTCAGCTCAAGAGAAAATCTGTTCTGTCAGTGACTAGAACAACTTGCCGAGGCACAAAAGCCCCACGGGGAACCGCAGCGGCAGCTATGCAGTTAGCACCGCACGAGTTGGCCAAAATTACGTGGAAGCCACAATCTCTGACTTAAATAATGTTGGAATGGAAAAAAAAGATTTCGTACCTCTATTCTGAAGAAATAATCAACCAAACTTCGCGTATTTGTTGAAATGTATTACAATTTCAAATACATTTTTTTAATTGGAGGGCTACATATTCGCGGTATTGGTTTGTAACGTAATTTAATTACTAAATATTTTTAACAATTTGTTTTTATCTTTACTCTTATTTTTATAAAAATATAGGCATAATTCGCCATTTCAAACTATGTTTTGGCCAATTCATCATTATAAAATAAACAACACACCTGCACTGTATGCAATCATAAATAAGAAAGTGATCGTATCCAAAGGAACCACGATATTTTGGTCTTGCTTTTTTCTCCATTATTTTACTTTTCTTTGGAAAACTGGAGGTGAAACCACATGTGATGCAGCCCTACCTCTGATACTGTAGTTAAATGCATGCTTCATTGGTGTACCTGAAATAGTCTGTTGACATGTCTTTACTTTTCGGTTCAGACCTGAACTTGGCACACCTACAAGGTGCGAATTTAAATAAGTGATATACTATATATATGGCCTTAAGTTTATACTCCAACTTATCTTTCTCACAAAACTCTACACCTTCGCTCATTAACTTTTAATACTTTTGCAAAAGCTTGTCTCGCTTCAATGCGAAGTTTCTGCCTTCGATAACATTTTGGAATCCCGTATCCACGCAAACAAAGCGCGACAGAAGATTTCGAGCGCTAACTGGAGCCATGGCTTCTACTGCATTCTTATCCTCGTCAAGGAATAATGACATCATTGTTGTTCAGAGCTATCCTAGTAAAGTTGTGATTTGTGATGTTGATAGAAGGAATTCAATGTAGTCTCTGGAAATATTCATTTTTTTTTTTTATTTGCTGAGAAGTGTTAGATCAAGTTAAAGTCAAAGTAACTTACATCGTAAGAAGCCATGCAATCGACTACGTTTTTACTGATTGATCAGTAATGCTAATCCATTACGTTTAGTACTGAGTAACATGTTATTTTATTTTGTAAAATCATTATTTTTGTTTTACTGAACGGGCACAGGTCTGTGTTTTTCTACCAATGAATTATGCTTGGTTACTTCGATTAGTTAAAAAAGCATGCGTCCGTCTGCTTTCTCATGTGTTTGTTACTATTGTGCAGAGATGTCGAGCCTAGTCCTGCCCCTTATGTTCAGGAAATGTTTCATGTAAAAGATTTTCGCAATCAGCAAACTGCTGCCGACAAAAAATTTGTCGATATGCTAAGAATTGCTGAAATACACAAAGGATTGAATAAAATATGAGAGAATTGCAGTCGTACTGACCTAATTCAGAACGTGGTCACTTCTCCTCAAAGCAT